GGAGTTGGGTTATGGGGCCAGAGCCTGGCTGTGGGGCCGGGCCTTGGCTGTGGGGCCTGGCTGTGGGGAGGTGGAGTTGGGTTCTGGGGCCGGGGCCTGGCTGTGGGGCAGTGGGGTTGGGTTGGGTTATGGGGCCGGGCCCTGGCTGTGGGGCCGGGAGCAGACTGTGGCGCTGAGGGCTGTGCTGCGCTGTGCTGTGTGGGGCTGGGGCTGTGCTGCAGGGCCAGGAGCTGGGGGAACCCGCCCTGGGGTCGCAGCGTCTGGGGGCACCCGTGGGTACGGCCCTCCCTGACTGCGGTTCCCCATCCCAACCCAGGCTCCCGAACGCAGAACGTGCCGTATTGAAAACAGCCCCCCCGGTAAAAGCTCTGATGTGCCCCGTGCTGAAGCAGGAGAGCCCCTCGCTCGGGAGGGTCCCGCCATGGCTTCTGGCAGGTTGTTTGCTTTGGGGTTGTTGCTCTGTGAACTGGCAGCGTAACTGGTGATCTGCCGTGAGGGCTCTGGTATGCCTGGGAGTTCCCCTTCAGAGGATGCCACACCACAGCTTGTTGCCTTAGAATTTATTTGTTAGAGGCAGGACATGAAAGCACACCCCCCCCCCCTCCCTCCCACAGCCTCCTAGGAAACTCCAAAGAGTCACCTGGACGGCGTGTCCCTGCCCTGACAGCGGGACAGGCCCCTCTATCTGCTGGCGCTGGGCAGGGCCTGCCTGTGTCCTGGCACTGCCTCGGTTTCACTCGGTATTGGTTTGCTGAGCGTTTCTGTTTCACTGCGGTGGAGGAGAAACCCAAGTGTGAAATGACCCATCGCTGGCAAAAGGTTGTGGAACACCCGCAGTGGCTGTTCCCTTCTGTTTGTTTTGGGGTCGTGCACAGCAGGAGAGTCTGACTTTGATTACTTGGCGTTCCCCAGTAATGATAAAGTTGCCTTTTTCCCCCCTTCCCTTGATAAATCCTGCTGCACAAACCACAGAAAAGGAAGAGGAGGTGTGTGACCCTGTCGCCAAAATACTGTTGCGAGGTTGGGGCCTGGTTGTCCGGGCTTTTGGGCTGCTTTGTCCCGGTAAAGCACGAGTGGTCTGAGCGCAGCTTAAATTGGGGAACACGCAGCAGAGCGTGGCTTCGTCTTTAATGGAGGTTAAAGCAGCTTTTGGTCACAGGAGAAGTCAAAATGGGTTTCTCTGTATTGAATCAGACACGTTCAATCTCAAGCGTCTTCAGAGACTTTTAAAAAGCAAAGCGTAGTCAGTCTCACCCTAAAGTCCCCAGTGGGAACTGAATCTGTCACTGCAGGAACAGCGAAAAGGCCCGATCTGCGCTTTGCCGTTCACTCCTCTCTCATGTTCACCGAGGTTCTAGCTTTGGGAAAAAACATTCCTGTTCTTCCCATCAAAAACTTTAAGCTGGGAAGGGCACAACTTCCCCATGCTCTGGGTCAGCTATAAACAGCTCCTGTCCAAGCCAGCCCCTATAAATACACGTATCCCACGTCCTCCAGCTCGGCCGTTGCCGAACCGTAGGACTGCTGCCTGCCTACACGGCGACACACCAGGTTTCTTGCTATTATTAGCTGACCTGCAGCACCAGAGTGGGAGCTGTGGGGTGATTAAGGTCTCTAGAAGCTTTCTGGCCAATTCCTGTAACTTTTCCCTCTGCTCCCCTGCCTGCAGGTGCCTGGAGAAGCAATGGCCACAGCGGCTCTTCTGAACTTGGCACCGTCTCGCCTCTGCTTCCCTTCAAGCACCGCAGCCGCTTTCGCGTGGGCCAGCATGCACGTCGCCAGGCCAAAATCCGCCAAGGGACGCACGAGGCCGAGCTTCAATTACTCTCAGAGCGTGGAAGCCTGTCCCTGCCGGGTGCCACCTCCCCCGCCACCAGCAGCTCCTCGGGAATTAGTGAACAGCCGGAGAGCATCGTCCACAAACCCGGCGTTCCCTGCGGGCCAGGTGTTCCCTGAGGAGATCCCGGAGCTCCTGCAGCAAGTGCCTTTGAGGACCTCCTCTTCCCTGAACAAGTACAGGGTGCTGCCCTCCATCGGCTGCAAGGACGTGGGGAGCGGCGCCAGATCGGCCGGCTGAAAGTGAGTGAGGGGCAGGAGGCCACTCCGAAAGCCAAACCTCCTTCTGGAGACCAAGGCTCTCCCAGGGTCGTGTCAGAGAGCGATGTCGCCCCTGAAGAGAGCTCCCGGGTGCGATGTCCTCCTGAGAAGCCCGGAAGGAAGATGAGGCAGGAGAGCCCTTCGACGTTGTCTCGAGGTTTGGAAGAGTCGTGCTTGCTGCTCGCTCTTCGGTCCCCCTCTGGGCAGAGGTTTGAGCATCACTTCAAGCCCACCGACAGTCTCCAGACTGTCCTGGCCGTGGCAGAACAGAAAATGTCGGCCAAATACCAACGCTGCAGCCTCGAGACGATGGAGGTGCCCCGAAGGAGTTTCTCTGACCTGACGAGGTCCCTCCAGGAATGTGGGATCCTCCACAAGTCCGTGCTGTGCATCCGACACAAGGAGCAGTGCGACGCAGAGCTTTAGGGGCACGGAGCCGCCGCCGCCGGTCGTTCTGCTGAGTGGGTGGCGTTACTTCTGCCCAGAAACTGAGAGTCTGATGTTTCCTGGGCCTCCTTCTTCATCTTGCCATCTTCCCAAACTTCCCCTCGAAGCAGACGTGTGTGTATGTGTTGAAACAGTATTTCAGGTGTACAGACGTGCTCCGTAAATAGCAGCTTTGGTCACGTGTGCCATCGCAAATCGCTTCCTGAGCTCCACCACCCTTTGGCCTCTTTGGTTTTAGGAAATTGCCGATGTTCTTCTTTGAAGGCTGACGTTTCCGGGGCCTTTTGTGTGTTTTAGGAAGGTATCAGAGTGGATCCGGATGCAGAGGCACCTGTTTGGGAACGCAGAAATGGAACTGTTTGACCCTGGAGGACCATCTTCAGTAGGTCACCATCATCCTAAACACCTTCTTCTTGAGAGTGACTGAAAAGGAGAGCAAACCTAAAGAACCATCTGGAAATAACAGCAATAACACGTTAAGTAAAGTATTAAATTGCGAGACTGATGGTAATATACCTGTGAGGGCTCAGCTCTTTCTGGATAACCTCTGTGCGTCTCTTAAGAGTGTGACTATATCACCTTTTTTTAAGAACAAATTGTTACTATTTTGGCTGTATTGATGAGCAGCAGGATTTTCTACTTCCTTTTCCTTCTCTCATTCAGCTCGTGTGATCAGATAAGAACAGATGGATAGTTAAGATGGGGTGTTACAAAGTATTTCCATTTAACCCTTTACACTGAAATGAGTTGGCTGCTTTGAGAATTTTTAAATAAAAATAGATTAATTGGATTTGATGAATTGGCTCACGCAGAGACCTTATTTTACTAAAGCATCACTAAAAAAGGCTGGTGGGGTAACTTGGCAGGTTTTAGATAAATACAGTGTGCTTGTGCTAAAAAACCCAAAATTTCTCGGTTTCTAACAGAAATTCGTACGCTTCAAAGGCAATAATTCAATCTACTGAAAAACGGGCTGCTTGCCACGCGGATGAGCTGCTTTCAGTGTTTTGAGGAAAACCCAAGTCTGGTTTTAACCGCAGGGCAGCTGCCAGACCAGCTCGGAGCAGCAGCCGCCGGAGGCAGCTGATGCCGGTGGTGACCGAGGGCGTCGCAGCTCCTGAAGCGAGTGTCCAGGCTCCGGCAGCTTTATGAACGCGGTGCCTGATGGAACAGCGTGACTGGGGGGGGTGGGAGGTGCACGGTGGCCATCCCTGTGTCTTCAGGGAGGGCAGGACAGCGAAACATAGGGGCGCTTTTAACCCAGCCTCGGTGGGGAGCAAAGTGTTTCACTTAATTTCGGGAACAATTTTGTGTTTCATTCAGCACTAGGTGGTCACTTCCCTTCTGCTGATTTCGTGTGTATTGTGTTACTGCTGAGTTTTCCTACAATAACAAAGCCCTGTAAGCTGAAGGCTGAACTTGGAATGATTTATGTGAACTGGAGGCTCAGCCATCGCCTCTCCTCTTAACTGAGAAGTGCTGTTAATTAATTTGATGGCAGATACCTCGGGGGCTGCCCAAATGGGACGCTGGCTGGGCCCCTGCCGTTCACGCCCCCGTGCACGCGCCCTCCTGCGGTCTGTGTCTCCGGCCTGTGTTGAACACGGGATTGCAGCAGAGAGGGAAGCGCTTCGGAGCGGCGACCGCCGGCAGCTCTGAGAGCGAACAGGGGCTGATGCTTTAACCAGGATGCAGAAGAATAACAACTTCTCAGGGATATTCCTCCTGAATATCTCCATCTAAGATAAAACTGAATGAGTTTGGCCCTCTCACCACCTCCCCCAGGCTCCAGCATCTCCAAAAATGTGCGTTTTGATTATTTCCTCTTCTAAAACCCACATCAGGTCTTGATCTAGGCCAAGTGCAGGGAAAACCCCCTCTTTTTCTCCCCCAGTTCTCCTTCTCTTCCCCTCAAATGTCTCGTGGGGATGCAGGGGAGGGTGGAGCAGCGACTCTGCTGAGCCCGGCACAAGCAGCACTACTTATCCGACTTCATTTATGGTGCGATGTCATTTAACAAGCTTCCTTTTGGGAAGCTTTTAGGAATTTCAGCATCAAATTGGGTGTTTGATCTGGCACAAGATGCTTTGAGAAGGTTATAAATAGAGAAGCCATCAGGACTCCTGGCTCGGAACGGCCGTACCCAAGGCTTTTAAACACCAGTGAAGTATTCAAGCAAGAAAGAAGCGGGGGCACCGGTCAGTACGTGTTCTTTATTCCAATTAAAAGTACATTAGAAACAGCACACAGGACCAGCAGCAGCTTTCATGACAATTCAACCCAATACTCTGCTGTCACGAGGTCAGCCAGCTGTACTATTAAAGTAGGTGATTGAAACAAGTCTTCCACTCGACACGCAAGCACTCACTCACCTGCCACTTTAAATAGGTTTCCAACAGAATAAAAATAGATACACCCCAGAATACAAAACGTTTAATTTTAACAGTTGATTGTGGTTTTGTTTTTTTTTTCTTCACTAAAGCCTTTATACAAATTGATAAAAGGGTGCACAATTTCCTAAAATTTTAGGTACATTTTAAATGAGCCTTTTTTTACTTGGTAAAAGGATCCATGTTCCTGTCTTTGAACAGAATATGATGGCCAAAATTGCAAAGAAAATTCCTAGTTAAATTTACAATTTATACATTTGTTTTGAAGTGATTCCTGCACTGAGTAGCAGGCCGATGGCTGCTCACGCATGTCCCGTTTTTCCCCAAAAAGAGCTGTGCACCCTAAGTTCTAATTCAGGAGCCTCTTTCTCCTGGAAACCGGGAACAACCCACAGGCTTTCAGTTGTGCGCACGAGAATGGTCCCAACCGAACTAAAAGCCCGAAGTTTCAAATCAAAATCACTCCGGCAAGGATCACCCTGGGGCGAGGGACTGACGACCTGGTTTGCACCACGAGCACAAGGGAAGGGGAGCGCTTCCCGTCTGCGATTCGACTGAGCTATTTAACTCAAAACTCTGGTACTGAAACATATTGGAACAGGGAAATTTGGGGGGTCTAAAGGTCTTTTTTTTTTTTTTTTTTTGGTCAATACAAATGATTACGATTCATTTTTTTTCATTATTCCTACTACTGATTGGTGAAGCCCAGCAGTTCTGTACATTATTCACACAGAGCTTCCCAGCAGCATTTTAGAACTGGCACCACCTTGCCTCAAGGCGACCCACCCCCGCTCCAACTCCCACGAGCATTTTACGGCGGTGAATTTATTGAGGAAATTAATTCGTAGAGTTCCCTTCGTACTGCCCCTCCCACCCCCCACCCCC